GTGTGTGTGTGTGTGTGTGTGTGTGTGTGTGTGTGTGTGTGTGTGTGAGTGAGTGTGAGAGAGAGCTGGTTGGTGTTGTGTCGACTGCCTGTATTGTTGTGACTTTGTTTTCAGTATCTTTTCTACTAATTTTGCATGCTCCAGGTGGGTTGTTCACAGTCTTTAAGGACAGAAAATAAATGTTGAAGGAAACCAGAGAGACGGAACCAGACGGAGAGATGCAGCAGCAGATACGCGGGTCGGACGCAGGTTTCCAGATTAGCTGGCTGTCATCAGATGAAGATGGAGAGTTGTGTGTTGTCTGAGCCTGCTGGCTCTGCTGCAGCTTCAAATGTCAGAGGACTACTGAGGCATTATGGGTGAGCACTGTCATAGAGGTATACAGTTAGCTCCCGTAATAGAGATTAAGAAAGGAACTAATTTTATCAAATAAAAAACATGTTGAAAAGTTAATTGTCAACTGTTTTGATAATTAAATAGTTTTAAAGCGAAGGTTTGCTGCTTTCAGCCTCTCAAATGTGAGGAATTGGGTTTTCTTTGTCACACCTGGTAGTAAACTGAATGTATTTGGGTTTTGGACTGTTGCTGAGACATAACAAGACATTTAAATCTGTCACCTTACTTAGTTATTGCTTCTTAATTGAAGGGATTTGCTGTTTTTCTTTGTGTTTTGTGAAGGTAAATTGAATATCTTCAACTTTTCGACAGTAAATCGGACAAAACAAGTAATCTCAAGATATCAGCTTGGGCTTTACAAATTGCGATCTGCCTTTTTGGCTTTTTTTTTTCTGTCCCAAATAATCAATCAATTAATCAAGGAAATGATTGCCAGAAAAATGGATAATGAAAATAACCATAAGCCCTAGTAGAATATAGTTTAGTCTACACAGTCCAGTTATGTTTAAAACCTAGAGGAGTGCTTCTCTCATGACCAGAGCTCCCAGAAGAAGAGATCTTGATTCTCAACGGGACATTCCTGTTTAAATGGAAGTAAAGTGACGTATTGTGAGGGTTGAGGCTGGACATCATGTAGCTCCTTCTAACCAAAGACGTGTTGAGCATGGTTAGGTTTATTGCCGTTATTGGTTTTGTAGCACTCTTAAAGTAATTGTTTATAGATGAGAAAGTTTTCATGGACAACTCGCCCACTGTTGGAGACGGGTTATGTCTGCAGAGGGGAGGGGAGGGGGGGGCACTAAAGGTCACAGGGTGAGAGGTTGCGGTCTCCTTGCCTCGGGCAGCGGTCGCAGTCTAGCGCCCCCAGTAGACTCAGCCGGCCTCGTCTATATCTGCCACATATTAATGGAGCGTAAATCAACACAGCGCTGTCCTTTTTGAAGTCGTATCTTTAAAGGGCAATTGTGTCTCGAATTTCCAGTCGGTCACTGAACTCGATCTAAACTTCTGGCGTTGTTGTGAACGCTTCAATGTGTCTCATCGGATAAGTGTTCGGAGGACGAATCGCAAGAGAACATCTGCCGTGAAGCATGACATTTCAAGTGTAAACATTGGTGCTGTAATGCGGTGGATCAGATTTCATTCTTACTCAGATTAATTGTACACACTCACACAACCACCACTCTCTTCCCCCCCTCACCCTCCCAACCATCGATCTCTCTGGATGTGACCAGACCGAGAGGATTGGGGATGGGGACAATGATCTATTGAGAGAGGCGTAGGGAGGGAGGGAGGAAGCTCATGCTGAGAACTGCTGTAGTGCGTCTTGTGACAGAGTGGTGTTTGTGTAAAAGGAGGGGGAGGCAGGGTTTGGAGCTCGGAGGGGGGGGGTGTAGCTTTATTTTGGTGAGGCTACAGCTGTTGCATTCGGCAGTGACAGAATTCCACTCACTCAGCATATTTCAGGCGTGAGCGTCTCCTGTCAATCACTACTTCTCAGATGTGTTTCTGAGCATTTCGGCTCATCACATTTCATTTAATTTCGGAGCAATTGGACACTTTGAAAGAGTGCAAAAGAAAAATAAATGTAGAGGTAAAGGAATTCAAAGCTGAGACAGAGAATGTAAAAACGGCAGAGGGGACGTGTTGATGACGGAGTGCAAACATGGCACAACGGCAAATAATTCCTCAGGTCTTTCTTCTTCTACTCCCATCACCAACCCATCGCTTTGCGGTTTCATCCTAAGCCTGTCTTGTGCGCTCAGGAAGCAGAACAATGCAGGCCAGCAAGCGGGAGGATGAATTCAATATCGGGTTACATAACTCTTCCCCGCATAGCTGCCTTCAATTAAAGAGGATTTTTGGGGGCGGCTTTTATTCGCTTCCATAGTATAAATCGGAGCTTTCGTTGTGGGATCAGGTAGTGAGCGAGAGGCTTCCTGTGCTCTTAGGGATTCTCTGTGTTGCAGATAACATAGATGTATCCGCACATTATTGTCGTATTTGAGGTGTAAGCTTCTTTCTTTATCCAACGATTTACTGGAACTCGTAACTGTATGTCATCTCCGAAACACGGAGATCATCTGCATAGAGGCGATGTGGCAGGGCAACTATAGTTCCAATGGGGAAAGCATTGAGGTGGGAAAACCAATTGACAAACCCATTGAGCTACCACTGAAGTGTCCTTGAGCAAAGCACTGAACACTTGGCAGCTCAGTGTCCAATAGTAGAGGAAGTAGCGCTAGTTGTATCAGGGTGAGAATAATGGGCACTTTAGCCCATTGGCAATCCTTTGGAAAGGATATGCTGAATGTTGTTGCTAGCTTTCTTGCATATTTGAATTGGTACAGTGGTAATACTGTAAATGTTAAGGCAACACGGTGGGTTTCATCCAACAAGTGAAGGCAAGAGGTCATGATGGTATGACTCCTCTATACACCGAGCAGTGTGTCGCTGCACTAATCTCAACCATCTTTTTAAGTGCATTTGACCTGAGCGAGTAGCTTAGCGCCATGTGCAGACCAAATCACCTCAACAACCCCCCTGTTTCCCATCAGACGGGAGTTCAGAGAAAAGGTTAAAGAGGGAGAAAGAGCCACTTCTGGTGGAGTAACCATGACATTTCTATCCTGCTGCTGTCAAATGACCACTGGGCTTTTGAAAGCCGGAAGCAGCGTGATTCCTTTCTTAAACTCTTTCTCTCTCTCATTCCTCTGCTCTTCAAGCCAAGACACCATCTGTTAGGGCTCCCATAATCCCCGCCTCTCCCTAATACACCACCAGCTTATCCTTTGCTGCTGCAACAGCAGCCTTGTTGCAAGGCGTCCTGGAAAATGCAGTTTTGTATGTTTTGTCTGTCTCTTCCAGGGAATTCCTCTTTGCATTTCACCGAGCATGTTGTGCATTTGATCTTTTGTGAAAGGTTATCCCAAACAAGGTAAACAGTCAAACGGACCAGTGAATCAGTCTTTGTTTCTTCACTTGGTCGTCGGTCAGGATTTACAGGAATTGCTTAAATCGGAAGGAATTCCCAGTTTGTGATTTCTTTTTTTTTTGTCAGGCTTCCTCTAAAATGCGTGTCGCATCACAGAGTCGACTCTTTCACACGCACAACAAAACGCTGTCATATTTTCAAATGCATTTCCTTTGTCTCTATCATCTGCGTCCCTTTTGGCGTGACACCAAGGGATTTGGGGTCCCTCTGGTTGCTGCAACAATTCTTGTATCCTGCAAAATGCTTGTTGTCATGCCAGCTGACCTGAGAGTGAACGGTGGGAGTAAACCACCTCACCAGCCGAGGCCTGGATGATCAAACAAAAACTGCTCGTGTCCTCCTCGTGCGCTAATCACAGAGCCGTCCATTTCCATGAGCCGTGACTCTGTCATCTGCTGATGACGTGTTGTTTCTGTTTGTCAGTATAAATATTAAACTAAGTTAAATGAAAAACAATTGAATACCTATAAATGCAATTAAAACCCACTTTGCCTTTCAAATGACATGATTTGCGTTGTGTTGTCTTCTTCTCAGGCGGGAGTCAGAGCGGCGGCCATAGAGCGAGCGAGACAGCGGTGAAGCAGGCATGAGCGTGGACAGCCATCAGGAGGTGGTGACCACCCCGCCCCCACCGAGCGGAGGGACTAAGGAGCGCTACTTCGACCGCGTCGACGTCAACGATCCGGCGTACATCAGGGCCAGGAACATGTCGCCTGACCTCCGGCAGGACTTCAATGTCCTGGAGCAGAAGAAACGTGTCACGCAGATCTTACAGAGCCCCGTAAGTCCGTTGACTGCATTTCAAAATTGGGGAAATTCATGAAATCTCTCACTGGAGGGACATCGTTTAGAGGACATTGGAGGGATGGGAAGCTGCTAAAATGGTAGAAGAAGAAAGTATAATGGTATCAGCTGATGACCCTTGAAGTTACACAATGCACATACAGACCCGTGTGAGGTAGATGAAACCGATACATTGCATAGAGCGTCCTGAAAGATGGATGGGATCCGGATTCTTTTGGTAAACTGGCAACTCTAAATCCCCTCTGTCTGTTAACATGAGAGTGAATGTGTTGGTCGGACTACTGCTGACCTGTCCAGGGTGTACCCCACCTGTTCCTCCATCTATGAATATGGAGTCTGGAGTCTTTTTTTACAGAAATGTAGTGGAAGGACGAATAGACAGAATAGAGGGTGGTAGTTTCCGAATAGAGGGTGGTAGTTTCCAAATGGAGAACTTGCTGCCAGCACAGAATTTGTCCCCTCACTGACCCCTACTGTGGGTAATCAGTTCTCATTTTCTCTTCTGTCAGTTATTATTCCCCAATCAAGTGATTTCTAAAGACGTTACAGCATCACATGTGCTTGTGTTGATGTTGCGACACCGACCACAGAATCGAAGCAGTCAGCGGTGGTTATAACCCGATTATAACCACCAGCTGCCGCGCCCTCGCTCGGGCTTACTGTCGGAGCAGTCCCAATCCAGCGGCTCTCGTGTTGGGTCAGGTTTTGCTGAGGTAAACAACTCTGTGAGCGCCGGGCATATGTCAGCCAACACGCATCATGTTGTGCTTTTGATTTTTCTTTCCCTGGAGGTCTGGATTCTTGAGAATTACTGTTGCTCTAGTAGCCAAACTGAAGTGCTGGAGGTACAGTTGGGGGTCTGAGGCCTTTTTGTGACCACACATACTCATTTTTTAGGCACTGTAAAGGCAAAGTACTGGGCTGTATCTTTGCAGATGACTGTAACCTGCAAAGATCAGAATCCAGCGCAAATATTGTAAGATAAGAGGTTTAATAAACACAAGCCACAGGAACACTTGAACACACTTACAATAATTCAATATTTGCCGTGCTATGTAGATCAACTTGTTTCCTTGTCCATTTGCATCCCTGAGGAACTCGGCACCTAACTCTGGTAACAATAGCCCAACACTCTCTGCCTACTAACCCATGAACAAAGTCAAGCTCGATGTTGTCCTATCTTCCTGTCTGCTTTCTGCCCTTTGAACAGTTCCTCGAGTGAAGATTTTACAACCAGGCCCCCTGCTTCAGTTCAGCCCACACAGTGTTGGGAATATTTACTCTGGACTATTGACTCAAGGCTGGTCTGTGACTGAAGTGCTCTTCACTGTTGACAATGGAACCTTACATTTGCAAAGACAAGGTGTGTGCGTGTGGGTCTGTATGCATTTGTACTCTGCGATGACAAATGCACTTTGAAGGAGTCGGTGGGGACGGATGGTGAAGTTAAAGTTAGATAAAGGATAAGGTTTAAACGTTGCACAGGCAATGAATGTCATGAATGAATGTTCCTCCCAAGCATATACAAGCCTGTTATAGAAGCCTGGAGGTGTGTATGTGCGTGTGTGATTTGATATTGGGTAGTGGCCGCCATGGTTTGGCCCGTCTCGTTTTTAAGCTTTAAATGTGATCCGCATTCTGCACATGCCGTGTGGTTTTCTTAGCACGCTGTGCTTTGTGCCAGATGTCTGGAAGGGCACTGGCACAGCGCTGCTGATGCAGGTTTCCACTTGATACTTGGTGTACGTCTGTGTACGTGATTGAGTACCACAAGTGCAGTTGGGGGTGAGCAAAATGAAGTGAGTGCATCGCAGTTCCCTGCTCTAACTAGACAGTCAAACTCGTCTGTGGCCGACCATCACTGGTGTTTTTTGCGGTGTGTCTCACACAGCTGGCTCCAGTCCGTCCTTATCAGCCAAGATTCAGCGTGTTGAATTGACGGCGAAGAGCTGTCTGAGCCCGACAACACCAGCGCGAGGCAAAGCAAAACAGTGCCGGCCACGGTGATCCATCAAACACGCCCACCCTTTGTATTACAAACGTATGAACGTATTGTTCATGCCTCTGCGAAACTCTCAGGCAGGTGCAGAGAACACATGGATGCTGCTGACCATTGGCTCTATTCTCTGTGGTCACACAGTGTTATGCATATTATTCCCGCTTTGCGGTAGTAGAGTCAAATGACGTGCCAAATGTCCTACTTTTATGGGAATGCTCGCAGGTGCTGAGGAAGAAAGCCTGAGTTCACGTCACAAAGCAAGTTGATTTGTGGTACCTGTTCAACGTAACTTAATGCTTTATCGAGCCAGCTCAGGCAAAGAGAAGGCCGGCTCTGTTGAACCTGCTTGGTGGTAAACCCCTCAGCTCTCAGTCAGCAGTAACAGGTGGCTCCCTGTTGGCTGCAGAGGGTTTTTTCTGGCCTTACATTAGGACAGTTGGCCTCAGTGGTTTACTCATATTCAACAACAACAAGTGTGTGTCACCAGCTGGTCATGCACACGCGTGCCCTCTCTCATCGCAATTTCTTTCTCGGTTGCTCTCTCTCCTATTCAGCTACAACAACAACGTCACCAGCTGGGTGTCCGCACATGGCGTCTCTCTCTCTCTGTCTCTGTCGCGCTCTGTCTCACTCTGTCTCTGTCTCTCTCTCTCTCTTCCTCCCTCCGTCTCTCTCTCTCTCTTCCTCCCTCGTCTCTGTCTCTCTCTCTGTTTGTTTTGATTCCGGTGTTATGGGACTAGTGGCGGCTCCAGATTACATGTTTGTAGCGCTCGGATGGCAGGTTGTATTTAAAGTCGGACCGATATAGACCAGGCGGGACTGAATCAACTCAGCTGACTTCATCCACTCGCCTCATTCATGCAACAGTGTTTACCTTTAGAAACTGGCAGCTACAGCTGAACCTTGAACCCATTCAGCCCCGTTGTGTTGTACCAGGCCGTTTGGACACTTACAGTACATTGCCTGTATGCAGCAACAATGTGCATAGGGAGGCAACGTGAGACAATGCATGAGGGTGGATGGGAGGTAATGCATGATTGTGTAAATTGGAACACATGAAACAAATACATAGTCTGCAAAGTCCTTGATGCATTTATGGAAGTGACACAGGCAAACATATTGATCTCGTTTTCAACCTGAAAGCTAAAGTGTTTTTATCTCCTCTATCTATCTATATATATATATATATATATATATATATATATAAGAGGAAAACAATCCTGAAGATTTTGGATGCAGTTAATGTCATTTAAAACACTTAAAGACAGAAATGTCCACATATGTATTTTCCTTAAGATAAACAGCCGAGCATTGTTTCCCCTCGGTGAACTTCTGGTTCGTTTGTAAGACAATCTGCTTTAGTTTTAATAATACTTGATTTATTCGGTTACTTAAAATCATACGAGGAAGGAAGAGAGGAAAGGAAGCGAAAGATTCTTCAGAAAGCTTTTGGTGGAGTGTTTTGTATGACATGCAAGGATTACAATGTGCCTTGAGGTGGTTTGTGAGGCACGCTGAGGGGATTTTTCCATTGCATTTCGAGAGCTTGGACACAGATTTTGGCTGCAAATGCAAGTCTCATGATGTCCTGGTTGTTAACTCATGATGTTAATTTGTTTGTGTTAAATTCTTCTTCTTCTTCTCCCTGTGATGGGAACTAGGTTGATGTGACTGTATTTGCGACCCAAAAAGTCAAAAGGTGAAAACCGCCCGAGAGGCTTGAAATCAAATCAGATGAAATTGAATTTGAGTTCTACTTCCACATGCTGCTTCTATTTTCTGCATCTCCGCTCATCTTGCGTTTTTCCCCTGCTATTAGGTTTTCCTCTCCACTCTTGTCCTGGTCTTGTGGCACAATTTTACATCATCCATAGGAATGACTTACTGATGCCAAGGGGTCAATTTACTCAGTCTCATTTGCACTAGTCATGTGGAACATTGTGTCCTCTCGCCCCCCCCCCCCCCCCCCCCCCCACTTGCCGGAAAACACAAGTGGATGATTTATGGTGCTTTCGGATTCTGCCAAGTATCCACTCGTGTGAGGCAAATGTCATGGCTGCGCTCTATTATGTCTTCCTGAAGGTCTCGTTTGGTGGAACATTAGTGGTTGAACTCACTCCTCCGCTCCCCTCAGAGCCATGTCTCAGCAACTGTGTTTCAGTTTTGGCATTTCACGACATCTCTCGGGTGCTGAACTTAGCAAAACCTCCAGCAGTGGAGCAGTGCCCTCAGGATTAGAGGGTAACATACTAAAATGTTATTAAGTCCACTTTAGCTCGTGTGCAACCTCAAAAGGATAGGCCAAAAGTCAAAAGACTCTCCTGGGTGCTTAGTGTGTAAGCTTTCCACGTCTGGCAACTGAAATCAACATTGTTCATTCAGTAATGTTTTAGTCTAAAACGAAAGAAGCTATTGCAGCTAAAAGTGGGGACCAATTTCTCTGACGCACACTGTGAGGTTAGATGGGGGGAAATCAATAGCTTTGGCAAGCTTTCAGGCAGGCGCTCACTTACTTTGTAACGCTGTCACGTTGGCAGCTTGAAAGAACAGCATTGTGCTGACATAACTGAGGAGGTTGTGACTGAAATTACAGGCCTCACCTGGTGAGCAAGTGTGTCTGCATGCTGTGAGGATAATGCATGTGTGTTTGCCTTTTCATCTATCTTTACATGTGTGTCTTAAGTTCTCACGGCAAGTTGATTTATTCAGAATCTGTTGAGATGCATCCTTTACTTATTTACCCATTTATTCAGCCAGTTAACGCAATCTGAGCTTGAATGACATCACCAAGGGACCTGAGAAGATGCAGGTCACTGTGTTCTTCCAGGTGAACTGAGATGCAGTTTTGTAGGAGTGTGAATGTAATACTAACCTGCTTCAGGAAATGACCCCAAAACATTGTGTTCACAGGTATAAGTAAACCGAATTGGACCTTTGATATCCAGCAGATGAAGCCTAGTTTAGGATCTGTCCGACACAAGCTACTCGTGAGTGTTGTTTTCAAGCCTTTTCAAGTTCGCTGTGTGAACTTCAACAATAACCCGATCGTTTCAATGGTAGTAATTAAAGTGAGTCAGTCAAACTGCAATAGTTTCATTTCGTGTGTGTGTGTGTGTGTGTGTGTGTGTGTGTGTGAGGTAATGCTGAAACCATCACTTCTTCAGCGCACAAGCACAGACGTGCATGATCGGCAGCGCTCCAACAAAGTTGTAACCGTCTTCCTTTCCCACAGGAGGACGTATGACAGTTAAAGTGTCGCCTGCAACAATAGCTGACTTAGACAAAAGGAAACGTCTCTGTAGATCATATGACACAAGCTCTTGGAAGACTAGAAACTTCCTGTAGTAGTAAGAGTAAAATACTCATGTGAAAATGTATTTTTGTTTACCATCCACCAAATAGTAAAGTCTGATAAAGTTCCCTTTCCAGGAAGCATCTGCCCAGATGTAATGTCTTTCTTAAAGACTGTTTCTCAGCAGATCACGTGTGTTTCCTCCAGTAAGTGGAGAGACGTTGATGTTAAACAGGCGAGGTAGATGATGGATGATGGGGGTTTTATCTCCAGAGGCAAATGTGCTGTAACTGCAATGATGTAATGTTGTTTTGAAGGGAGTGTCTTTAGTTGAGCAGTCACGGCACAGCAGTTACAAAACACACTTGATGCGTTTTGTTTTTGCTGCAGATGTGGGATTTCTTTCCGAAATAATAATGGTCGGATCCACTCTAGGCCTCAGAGTTAATCAGTTTAGATGAGAATCAAATCCCTGCTGTCATAATCTTCTTGGGAATACACACACAAATTGTAGACCAGATGCTTGCTAGTGTGTGTGTGTGTGTGTGTGTGTGTGTGTTTCTGAATGTGTTTTCATGCTCATGTGCTTTTTTTTAGGTTTTGTTCCAAAACATTGCAAGTCTTGAAAGTTTCTCTAAAATTGATTGGACGATATTTTAAAACAAAATTGATTCTGATGAGGTTTTTTGGCCATTTAGTGTTTTTTTTCGGCCCACAACTTTTTCTGTTTTGGTGCACTGCATCACTTTCAGCCATGACAGGCAGCTGTTTTTAGCACAAAGCTCTAAAAGTGTAGCAGACAGCAAGCAGACAGAGCCGGTGACATGCAGGTGAACATAACGGAGCATTAGCCGCTAAAGAGCCAGGTAGAGAGCTGGTGGAGACCAAAACAGAGCTAAAAGGAGAGAAAAGCTTCGACTTGATGTGTAAATAAGCATCTGTCAGCGAACAAATTCAACTTATACAATGATAATAAGTCAGTGTTGTGTTTACATGTTGTATTGTCTTAATGCAGGTTTAATAGCACTGTACAAACTGATGTGCGTTTCATTCGTCATTTTGTTAGAGCGACTAGCGTCAAACTAGCAGAAATCTTCCGGCGCAGACCTGAAACAAAGACCGTTCTAGTCCAATCAGGGTCAGGTGTCTCTGACTCCAATGAACTGTGTCTTTAGCGCTGCGGCTCCAATGTCAATGTGAAGGCACGACAGTCTTTGAAACAGAAATGCCCAGAACAAAAACAGCAACTCAAAGCAAAAAACAAACCGACCCGCCACTGTCAGACATCCGCAACAGGCGTCACTAGGGACTGAAGAATGTCTGGCTTGGGTTCAGAATCAGCGGTGCTCCGGGACAGTGTGTGTCCTCACACAGGGGGGGGTTTGCTCCACTTTCAACAAAACACCCCCACATGGGCACAAAACCAAAGGCCTCAACTCCCATTTGCATAAGACTAATGGACCGTCCCATGGGGAGACTCGAGGGGATGCGTGGGGCAGAGACAAGGGGAAGGTAATTGTCAGGGATGCTTTTGTGCACAGCTATATTGGAAATGTGTAGTTAAGCAGCGAGACGAAATGAAGGCATTAATATTGGATGTTGCCCTGCAATAGGAGTGTCGTGCCCTATTTTCACTCTCAAGCTACGCTGATCTTGCCACAGATTCCCATCACTGCTTTCCACCAGGAAGTTAGACTCAGAGTGTCAGATATTGTCTGCTCCTGTGGGATAAGGTGAAGTTGATCCAATGGGTTAGTAGCCTGACATCACCAGACCAAACCGCAAATGTGAATTAGTCCGGAACACCTCAGTTCATTTTTGATTTCCAAGGGATGTCAGCAATGGCGTAGACCAAAATGCCTCAGGATGCGATAATATAGCTCTTTGCAGCCTGGCTTGGACTGTTGCTTTATTAATATAACATGAATATAACATGTTTGCATTAGTTGAATAGGCTTTAGCATCATTACATTTAACTCTTTATGCTCCGATCTTCATGCATACCGAGAAGTCTTGTGATTTCTGTTTGAACTTTTAATTTATGAGCGGTTTCATGATGAGTAAGATTTGCCTCGAAGAAAAAGTGAAAGCGTAAAATCATACAGTACTCCATGTGTGTATCTGGTCTGGCATAAGAGCATGTTAGCATGTTAGCATTGTGTCTGTGGATTCAACAGATGACTGGAGACTGGAGAGACTATGAGAGTTAGCCACAAACACACACTTCCAGTCAAGCAGCCAATCGTTACGCAGGCTTGTTGTGAAGCCAGCCTATCCTGATCCAGCTGCATCGAGCCCTTTGAGGACAATTCAGATTGACACCGAAGGGGAATGTCTAATCTGTGATTAACAGGTCTTCTTCTTTAGTCCTTCTCCTCCTGTCTCTCTTAATGTTCCAACATCTTTTTACTCTTTCATCCCTCTGTCACCACTAATCCCCTGCTCTCTCTTCTCCCTCTGACTCTAATCTGCCTCACCATCATCTCTCTTCAGATGTCATTACAGTTAAAGAAAGTCAAAGCATTTCGGGATCTGAGGTTTCGGGTTCTAGTTTTTGACACACTGCGTCGTCTCAGTGCCATCACCCTGATGTTATTTCCTCTCTCATCTTTTCTCTTGTCTTCCAGGCCTTCAAGGAGGAGTTGGAGAGTCTCATCCAGGAGCAGCAGCGGATCGGGAACAACCCCACCAGCCTGCTGGCCCTCCGGCAGATCGCCGACTTCTTCATGGCCACCTCTGTGGGCGGCTTAAACAGCTCCCCCCTCAGTAAGTGCTCACAGTGCTGTGGCACGTTACGCTATCATTTTAGCACAACATGCCAAACTTGCAAAACGCAGCATCAGTATTTGAAGACAGGATATCCAAGCATGAGCTCTGCATGCTTTGGGGGCATAAATACCCCAAGACAACACAACCCCAGACTCCGGAAGAGCTGCGCATACTTCTCTGGGTTTTGATCTAGGATTTCTGTCCAGGAGTCCACATGTGAAGTCTGTTTCCAATCCCAGCGCTGGAATGCACGACTAATGCCGAATTACACGTCAAATGCAATATACTAGTTCAGTTCGGCTTTCTTAAGATGTACCGCTAATCAGTAAGTCTGAGAGGCATTGGCAGAAAACAAAGTATTGGTTGGAGGGCTGTTTACAGCACCTCAGTGTGATTCATGTGGAGCTGGATCTGGGGCGATTCATCTAATCGATTACAAAATACATTAATTTGCATAACCTGTGTTGGTGGGTCACAAGAATGGATCCCGAAGAACAAGCTGCAGCTAAAAAAAAACAACTCGCCCACGATCCTACAAAGTGTGCAAGTATTTTAGACCCAACAATGTGGTGCTAGGGTCTATTTTGTTTTCACATTTGTTTGTTTTTAAGAGAAGTTGATTGAATTAAATACTGAAATGTGTATTAGACAAGTTTAGATCTTTATTACGGGTACTTGTGTGTAATTTAAAAGATAATCAATTCGAATAGTCGTCAGAGTAATCGACTAATAAAGAAAATAATCGTTTGATTAATCAATAGAAAAGTAACCGTTAGGTGGAGCCAGATGTGTGAGGTACATCATTAGATCAAAAGACAGATGTTGACGGTGGTCCTTTGTTGCTGTCGTGTTTGGGAAGAGAGGATAAAAGTTCTTTAACCCATATTCTGTTATTTCCCTTCACATTGTTTAGGTGTGGGGATGGTCATTCCCATCAACGACTTGTACGGAGTGGAATCCACCACGATGGTGAAAGGCGAGAGGCTGACGCGCTGTAAACTGGCCAGCACGTACAGACTGGTGGACCTGTTCAGCTGGGCCCACCTCTCCAACTCCTACATCACAGTAAGGAGCTGCACCGAGACCGAACGTCACAACTGAGTTCTTAAATGTGTTGACAGTGATGGGCTGTGTCCGAAAGCAGTCCCTACTTACCGTACAGTGCACCACATTTACTGCCATTTACTGTCATTGTATTTCAGTGTCTGGATTTTAAGTCCCACAATGCAGTGCGTCATATTTTACAGCAAAAATAATACTGGTGCAACACTACATCTGAGAATCTATAATGAGTGACCATAGAGAGTAGTGAGAGAGATATCTCGGACACAACGATGGTTTCTGACGACAGCAGGAATGAATGTGTTGATCGATTCGATGATGTTTAATCAATGAATTGTCTGGATTCCCGCGTTACTTAAAAAAAGATAAAGAATTGATTTCCTTTTGGCTCATCACTCGCTTGAATTTTGACTGGAATAGTTTCCCTGTTTAATTTCAGAATAAGAAAATTTAAAGTCAGCTGTTGTCACATTTACATCCATTTGATTCTTTCTTGTCTTAGGGTCGAGTCAGCAAAGAGCAAGACCACATCCTCATCATCCCCAGAGGACTGTCATTCGCTGAGGCGTCTGCATCGAATCTGGTAAGACATATAAGAAGCCGTGTTTACCAATCCAGAGTTGGTGTTGCTTTGTTTTCCTACAAAGACTTATTTTAACTCTACCAATGCAGTTCTCACTGTGCTCTGTGAAATCCTTTAGGTGTCTTAGTGACTGAAATAGTGACTCACTTTGTTCCACTTGGAAAAGTAAAAAAGAACCTGTAGTTAAACAGCTCGTATTGGCACTTTCTGCCAGCAGCTACTTCTTGTATAACTCACAGACAACAGCAGGGTAAGATGTAGGCTCTAAGCCAACATCTTATTTTTAGTGCGTCTGGATCACATCCATCTTTTCTGTGGTCGTCTGTACGAGAGCAACGACCGCAACATTGCAGCTTTTGGGAGACTCAACAAAATGATGTTGTCTGGTGCTTTCAGATTGCCCTGACTATTTGTGTTTTGATGCCAGTCTGTCGCTGCTGGTCTCCTCCCCTTCTTATTCTTCTAACGTTGGCCTGTTTTGATCCTGCAGTCAGCTGGGTGGAGCACATTTCAGATTCTTTCTGACGCGTCCTTTGGCGTCTTTTTATAATTAGAAGTGCTATGTTTGTCAGAAGGGCCTCTCAGCAGCAGGGCAGGTTTTACTGAAAGGGTGACGGACGTGACGGGGTGCACTCGTACTGTACTGGACATGTGATTTAAAGCGATCGATGTTCCATCGTCTGACAGCCGGCTGCAGCCGTGGGGTGTCTGTGCTGACAAAGATGGCGGTAGTTAGTTACGCTCGGCCGGTGCCATTCTCTCTCCTCTGCTGGGTGAGAGATCAATAGACGGTCATCCATCCGGACATCCTTATGGCTGTTAAAAGGCAGAGCATCACTGGGGACATGTCTCAGGACTTTCAGCTCGAGTTGATTCAGAGATCACCAGCAAGCTGTGGACTCCACCCTGCTGTTAATTCATCAATATTTTTCGGTGCCAATATAACACCATCCATCCATCCATCCATTTATTTTCCTCCGCTTATCCGGGGTCGGGTCGCGGTGGCAACAGGCCAAGCAGGCTGACCCAGACTTCCCTCTCACCGGCAACATGTTCCAGCTCATTCTGGGGGATCCCGAGGCGTTCCCAGGCCAGCTGGGAGATGTAATCCCTCCAGCGTGTTCTGGGTCTTCCCCGGGGTCTCTTCCCAGTTGGACGTGCCTGGAAAACCTCCAGTGGGAGGCGTCCAGGAGGCATCCTAATTAGATGCCCGAACCACCTCAGCTGACTCCTTTCGACGCGAAGGAGTAGCGGCTCGACTCCAAGCTCCCTCCTGATGACCGAGCTCCTTACCCTATCTCTAAGGCTGAGCCCGGCCACCCTACGGAGGAAGCTCATTTCGGCCGCTTGTAGCCGCGACCTTGTCCTTTTCGGTCACGACCCAGAGTTCGTGACCATAGGTGAGGGTAGGAACGTAGACCGAGTGGTAAATTGAGAGCTTTGCCTTCCGGCTCAGCTCCCTCTTCACCAAGACGGTCCGGTGCAGCGCCTGCTTTACTGCTGCAGCCGCACCGATCCGTCTGTCGATCTCCCGCTCCATCTTACCCTCACTCGTGAACAAGACCCCGAGATACTTGAACTCCTTCGCTTGAGGTAGGCACTCCGTCCCCACCTGGAGGGAGCAATCCACCGGTTTCCGGCAGAGCACCATGGCCTCAGATTTGGAGGTGCTAACTCTCATCCCCGACGCTTCACACTCGGCTGCAAACCGCCCCAGTGAATGCTGGAGGTCACGATCCGAGGAGGCTAACAGGACCACATCATCTGCAAACAGCAGAAAGGCGATCCCGAGACCCCCGAACCTGACGTTCTCCACCCCCCGGCTGTGCCTAGATATCCTGTCCATGAAAGTCACGAACAGGACCGGAGACAAAGGGCAGCCCTGGCAGAGGCCAACACCCACCGGGAACGTGTCTGACTTATTGCCGAGAATGCGGACACAGCTCCTACTGCAGTCGTACAGAGACCGGATCGCCCTTTGTAATGGGTCCGGCACCCCATACTCCCGCAGCACCCCCCCACAAGAACCCCTGAGGGACCCGGTCGAAAGCCTTCTCCAAGTCCAAAAAGCACATGTAGACTGGTTGGGCAAACTCCTAGAACCCCTCCAGTAGTCTTGCGAGGGTAAAGAGCTGGTCCACTGTTCCACGGCCGGGACGGAATCCGCATTGCTCCTCTTGAATCTGAGGTTCGACAAACGGTCGGAGCCTCCTTTCCAGCACCCTGGCATAAGCCTTCCCCGGGAGGCTGAGTAGTGTGATACCCCGGTAATTCGAGCACACTCTCTGGTCCCCCTTTTTGAAAATGGGAACCACCACCCCAGTCTGCCAGTCCATGGGCACTGATCCCGACCCCCATGCGACATTGAAGAGGCGTGTCAGCCAGGACAGCCCAACTATGTCCAGCGCTTTCAGCATCTCAGGGTGGATCTCATCCACCCCCGGCGCCTTGCCACCAAGGAGCTTTTTGACTACCTCAGCGGCCTCTGCCAGGGATATGGGTGAGCCTCCCCCTAGATCTTCAGGCGCTGCCTCCTCTGCAGAGGACATGTTGGTCGGGTTTAGAAGTTCCTCAAAGTGCTCTTTCCACCGCCCGACGATGTCCCCTGTCCGTGTCAGCAGTTCGGGATGTGTGAGAAGTTCTTCCGGAGGTGGGAGTTAAAGACCTCCCGGACAGGGTCCTCCGCCAGATGTTCCCAGTTCACCCTCACTACACATTTGGGCTTGCCGGGTCTTTCCAACCGGTTCCCCTGCCATCTGATCCAACTCACCACCAGTTGCTTTTTTAAGTTTCATGGCAGTTTTTCAGATAGGTTTAGATTTAATATATATAAAAACAAACATGTATTTCGTTAGCGTCAGATTCGATGAAGGTCGCTCTGTCCTGCTGTAATAACACACGCCTGGATTTTGTGATCTCGCTGGTTCTGGTTTGTAGCACAGAGCAACATGTGGTTGCGTTGATGATGATTTAGTAGAAAGTCTGCGGGCAAAGTAGTGTTTTATTTGTTTGTTATTAGGCTTTACAGCGAGGACTGTCATCTGTGGTCAGTTTCTCTTTCTTCAGGTTTTGAATACCTCAGTCTCTTTATTCGTCTTCATTTTCTCTGGTTAAACAACTCTCCTCCCTCCAGGTTCCTACCTCCATCTTTCCCTTCATCGCTCTTCTCTCTCTCTCTTTGTAATCTAATAACCTCTAACTGGTATAACTGGTTAGACTATATTATGTTTCCTGGAATTGCTGATAATGTGATTTCTGTCATCACGCTCATTGATTTTGACTTCATGTCTTCTTAGTTTAGGTTGCAGGGTTATCAGCTCTGAGTGTGTGTGATGGGGTGGACCTGGTTATAATACACATTTGATTACACTGATCTGGGCGTGGTTAGTTTTACACAACGTCTCCGTCCAGCCTCATCATATTCCCTCTCCCTCCTCAGAAGAGGCTGCTGTCAACTTTTCATCAAGCTGGTTCAGCTTGTGTTTGAGTGCCTTTGCACCAGTTAAGAAAAACAACGTGTATATATACAGTATATATGTTTTGGCTCCACGAAGCATTCACCAAGCTTGTCTCCTCTCTGTGTTTCCCCAGGTGAAGGTCAACATCCTCGGGGATGTGATCGAACAGGGCTCCACCAACCTGAGGATCGACCCCGCGGGTTTCAGCCCCCACGCTGCCATCTACTCCATGCGTCCAGACATCCGCTGCATCCTTCACGTGCAAACTCCTGCCATGGCTGCGGTAAGTTCACGTTACGCTGGAAACGTCTTCAAACCTGATATGCAACAAAGTGTCTCGTCTCTGCAGTCCTGAGAGAAGTACAGATCTTCAAAGTTTTCTTCACAAAAGGCAGCTCACTTAAATGTCAGCCGCAGACTCGGATGAATAAAACAGCTGCAACACACCTGTCAAAGCTTCTCATCTGCCTCTGCTCCCCCTCTTCTCGTCTGCTTTAGGTGTCATCCATGAAGTGTGGCATCCTGCCCATTTCCCAGGAGTCCTTGATCCTGGGTGATATCGCCTACTACAGCTACCAGGGCAGCCTGGACGACCAGGAGGACCGCAGAGAGCTGCAGAAGGCCCTGGGGCCCACGACGAAGGTAGGAAAACCAAGGAAGCTACACACGGAGCAAGGGCTTCTGGCTGGGCGGTCCTCGTCGGTCTTAAAGGAATAACTTGCTCTAAAGTCTGACTGTTCTGCTGCTCCTAACGATGCTGCCTGTAACTTTGTGTGTTACAGGTTCTGGTGCTGAGGAATCACGGTATAGTTGCTCTCGGGGAGAGCATCGAAGAGGCCTTTACCTACATGTATAATATCCAATATGTCTGTGAAATCCAGGTACACAAACACACACCAACGCACACACACACACTCCCACACAGGCTAACTGCTGCTGTTTTTAGGCACCCAGCACATTCAGCTTCCCCTGCACATGTATTAGACTAGCAGGGCGCAGCTTTTCCCGCTAAATATAATCTCTCTACGGCCATTTTTACATTTCCCCACTCTCACTATTTTAGCAACACTCCATACGTCATAATCTCTTGCCTTGTGGGAACTGTTGGCTAAACAGTCTTACAGCCAGGCTATTGGGAGTGATGAAGGGAGTAACGAGCTGATTTGTTGTTGTTGATGTCTGTCCAAAGCAGCATTTACCGAAGGGTGTTGTTCTTAAGAAAGCTGGAAAGAAAATAGCAGAGGGGATTTCAGGAGGTCTGGATCAAGCGCAGGGGAAATTAATACATTTGAGATATTAAATCAGTAACGGCCGATATTCAGTTTCACATTCATATTTTGTGTATCTTCTCTTAAAAATCATCTGTACCCCTGGATGGTGAACGGGATGTGTGGAAAGATTGTGGAGTAGCTCAGCTGATTTAAAACAACTAGTTAATGTATGAACAGTTGGAGCAGTTCAGTTAAAGTAACGGTTCGGTGGAGTAGTTTATCTTAAGGTGATGTATGAACAGTTGAAGCAGTAACGGATGAATGGAATAGTTAGCCAAAAGAAAGAGTCGAGACAGTCTAGTAACGGACAAACGGTTGGATAAATGTTTGAGAATCCAAAAATTAACCAATTCAACATAAACCCCGACAATTCAACTGTCTGAGACAATATCGTTGTAATATCCACTTATATGATTAATGGTTATGTCTTTTCAAAGGAACACATTTGGAACATGAAGGGTGTGATGTCGAGGAGTGTTGGGATCAACAGATTCAAAGCTATTAAATGTGGTCACTTGTGTTGTCCAGCGGCAGAGCTCTGAGAGACGTCGTGATCTATCGATGCTTGTATTAACGTTAGTGTGTCCTGTGGGGGGTTTCTCCGGTGTTTTACCGGTAGACTCTTGCGTGTCTTTTGTGTTCACTCCTACGGAGGATTTTAGAGATGTTATTGCGTCCCGCGCTGTAACGGGCATACCAAATCTCCTGATTGACTCTCCCCGGTCGAGCAAAAGAAAACATTAATCCATCCTGCAAAGCCCAGCTTAATTTCTATAAATAAATCCCCCCATCGTGTTTGTTGTATGCCCTGTGCAGTACTGTATATTCCTTGGTGCTGCGGTAGCTTTAGATTAAGGGGTAGCCCGTTTTGGTTTTGGTAAACAACGTCTTCCTCCTAGATATTAGTATTTTTGTCTATTTTGTGTCGCGTGAGCCGTCAGTCCTGAGTCTCACACTCTTCTCCCTTCTGTCCTTTGTGACTGCAGGTGAAGGCCATGGCGTGTGCTGGCGGGGTGGACAACCTGATAGTGCTGGACTCGGCCAAGTTGAAAGCACAAGTAAAGGCTGTTGGCAAAGCAGATGCTGTCAACATGTGTGGCGGCCATAAGTGGAAGAATGGCGAGCTGGAGTTTGAGGCTCTGATGAGGATGCTGGATAACCTGGTGAGTCAACAAAGTGAGAGTAATCATCATCATCAGGCTCATTAAATACACTTTTCACTTCACTTCTGTGTGTTCGCTTTGAACAAACAAGCTCGGAGGTAAATATAAAAATGACATGAAGAGAAGGATACTCGAGATTTCTTCTCCTTTCTTGAATCTCAGCACTCTGTGGCATTTTGAGAGGTTGTTTTTCGACAAAAAAAAAGGTGTAAACAGAGGTCCCTCTCTCTCTCTCAGCATGTCATCTCTGTCTCATCCCTCTCTCTTCTGACCCCTCATTAACTCAGCATTGGTCAGAATCAAACTAGTTACTCTCCACATCACCCTCTTACAACCCAGCATACAAATGCGAAGACCTCCCTGATTTGAATGTGTAAAAAACAAAACATAATATGAAACAGGACGTTGTAGAAAAAAGTGAATGCCAGCACACCAGCATGACGGTCTCTGGACAGAAAAGGGTGATCGATTCAAGTTGAAAGGTCAACTTCGAGCATGGAACTGAGATGAATAGTAAAAGGACAAAATGAAAAAGAAACGGAATGTCAGTGTGAAGCCGACAAACAAACAGCGGGACCATGTGAGAGTTCAGCGACAGAGAAGAAGGGCCGGAAATGGGATGTGTGAGAAAGAAAGGAGAGATGAAGAGGAGAGGGGTGAGTGGAATAGGCGGATGAAGGGAGAGGGACAAGAGAGAAAGGGTCAGAAAGGAAATGTCTCTCTGACTCCGTCCTCTGTGCTGCCAGAAGCCCCGTGCTCACAACACTGTGTGTGTCTATTGCTTTCATTTGACTAACTGTGGAACTGGCAGCTCAACCAGGGATGCAGGAAGGGGAATGTATAATGATGTGATCTATTGAATAGCATTCGTGGGGTAAAGTTACAACAGCGGATACATAAATACAACAAGTACGAATGTATGAATTAGCCTCCCGTGTGGCCATGAGCTTTTGTTTTGTTTCCTGGTCATTGCGAGACGAAACAAACCAAATCGTCTCCGATCAAAGAAGTCAAACTGTCTGCGTGGCGTTGTTTCCTGCTGCAGGGCTACAGGACAGGTTACACATACAGGCACGTCATCGTCCGAGAGAAGCCCAGGCACAAGAGCGACGTGGAGATCCCCGCCACGGTCACGGCGTTCATGTTCGAGGAGGACGGGGACTGCGCCACGCGGCTGCCCTTGAAGTTCCTGCAGCAGCGGCAGCAGAGGGAGAAGACGCGCTGGCTCAACTCGCCCAACAGCTACACCAAGGTCAGCGTGGAGGGCAGAGAGGAGCGCTACAACAGCCGGACAACCACGGTGAGTGTGTGTGTGTGTGTGTGTGTGTGTTTCTGTACGTGTTTGTGTATTTATATTTTGTGTGTTACAACGCAGTTTATATAATAAACCCAAAACACGCAGTGACAAAGTGAAGTTCAATGTCGGTTGTTGTTGACTGCTTTGTTTGGTCGGCAGTTGTTCCTCAGTGTTTGAAAGCTGATGTGAGGTCGCCACCTACAGGCTGAACAGAGATCTACATTGTTTTTTAATCTTTGAGGCATTTAGCTCCGTGATTTTATAAAAGAGTAGTCCAGTGATTTAGTATTGCACTTCTACAAGGTTGGATGTCTCACGGGAGATGCATTTGAAAAGAATGATCAAAATCAACGAGCAGACACTGAAATATCTGACTGTATTTTTATAATGATGGTGGATCCTACAGTTCCCTTAATGCAACGCTGTAGAGTGTTTCACCAGACCCTCTCTGACCGCTGGATGCCTTTCTCTTCAGATCCCCGTTTAATAACCCACACTTCTGATTAAAAATATCATTTGACTGTAAAGATCTATATAAATAGGGTTGCATATAATAGTCACAATAGAGATCGTACATGCGTTACAGTGCTGGTTGTTGTTCCTTCCTTCTACAGTGGATGAAGGCGGAGGAGACGGGAACCCCGATCCGGATCGAGGACCCCAATCAGTTTGTCCCTCTCAACACAGACCCCAGTGAGGTGCTGCAGAAGAGGAACAAAGTGAGTCCAGCGCTCGTCTCCTCTCGGTCGGCATTGTTTCCGACACCGAATGCTTTCCGATGACATCGCTGTGCGTTTCGTCCTATCACAGATCAGAGAACAGAACCGCTTCGATATGACGTCGTCAGGGCCGCGCTCTCAGCACCTCGCAGGCATCCCAGTTGATGAACCGCGACGGGTGAGAATCATTCTCTTTGGACCTTCTGACATTTTTTTAAAATTCACTTTGTCTGCTGGCCTTTCGGCCTGATCTAGATCTATTCAATCACTGGTGCCAGACGGAAAGAAGGCGAATCATCTCGTGTCTACGAGCATTCTTCACAGGAAAAACAAATACCTGGATTAATGCAGATTACTTTTAATGTTTGATGTCACAGTCCAAACTGAAAATAGTTTTGTTTCCTGCTAAAGGAAAGAATGTAGCCGTAAACCGAGTTCTCTGGCGCCAAGTTTCAGAATATTCTTCCGTTAATACATATAACTCAACAGCCCTCAGGCTGAATAATGCAACACCGTACAGGAATGTAATCACATAGATGCCAGATCGACCCCTCCCTCCTTATTTTGTGCAGCCCATCAGGGCTATAGCATATTCTGTGACTGAGATTATATTGTGTTTTGTTTTGTATTGTTTATAACCCTTTTACATCTGTTTGTCACGCACCAGACAATGCAGGCATTTTAAGAAATATAAAAAAATCTGGACTTCATGGAGAGTTTTCATCCATTTTTAGCTGTTTTTTAAATGTGCACATAATATACAGCAGCAACGTCACAAACAGCAGCTGCTTCTCAATGTGTTTTTGTTTTTCTTTGTGTTCAGAGTCAGACATTTCAATTCCATTCTGCTCCAGAAAAAGGGTCCCGTGTGTGTCTTTTTGTGGGCATGCAGTGCTTTATTGCCTGTTGGACCAACAATACAGATTTCCCTCATTACTGGTTATTGAGCAATGACTCAAAGGTGTTTTTCAGTTATTCCGGCTGATTAGACACCAGTGAAAACACCTGTGTCGGCGCTCCATCGTTGTGTAAGGAGCTTTAATCGCCTTCCTCAGTAGATCACCAGAAAGCACAGCCAGTGTAGTGACACCTCTTGACCACTAGGTGGAGCTAAGGAGAACATTTTGAAAAGGCAAAAGGAACCTTGAGTAAGTTGATGTTTGGACTTAGTTATCAAGATAAATGATTAGATAGACAATGATGAATACATAGGAAAGAATAAGGTAGAACATATCTCATTTAGACATTTCCATGTTGATGGTCTTGTGGTTGGTGTTCTTGTCCTGAAGGATCTGGCGCAGATAAAAGTTCTGGTAAATATCCACAAATGTTTTCTAATTGTTGCCGTCGCTGTGGAGTCATTTTACACATTATTGCCCGTTCAGAACAGAAAACATTGCATGTGTTTATTAATGTAGTGACGCCAGTTTTGAATTAATTTTCAACCGTTTTAATTCTGCCGTCGACGGAATTGCACGAGTCGCTGACAATGACATGTTGTGTTGGAGCATGATGGTCTTCAGAGGAAGTGTCTTTACACAAAGATCTTGTGAAATGTGTGTTTTTTCGTGTGCACACGTGTGACTTGTTTTGTGAGTATGCCGGTGCCCCTGTAGTGTTAATTGCATTAGTGCGTGTCTCATGCTCGGTGTTTATGTTTCCACAGTCTATTAAAAAGATGTTGGCTTGCAGACTAATTAGTCGGTGATTATATGAGCTCTGTGCGATGTGGTCGACGCTTTCATCTTTATGTGAGCAGCCTCAGTTGGGTTGTAATGAATGATTGTCCCTCTCGCACACAGTGGGTCTGTGTGGATACCAGTGTGTTTTCTTTGTTTCCATTTGTGTGTTTAAATCAGTGGTTGTGTGCATGTGTTTATGCTCTGATGCGTACAGTATCAGTTTTTATGTGTGAGCTTTGGTTTTTAGCATCTCAGAAAGTGTGTGTGTGTGTGTGTGTGTGTGTGTGTGTGTGTGTGTGTGTGTGTGTGTGTGTGCGCGCGCTCCCATGCTCACCCCTCTCCCTGTCTCCTCCCCAGCCATACGTGCCCACAGAGGAGGAGCAGATGGCTCCCTTGCCTCCCAACCCCTTCAGTGAGCAGACACAGAAGGAGCTGCAGGAGTACCGCACAAACGTGGAGAGGAGGCATCTAGGCCCCAATGGTAGGACACACACACACACACATGCATTAACACACACACACACTTGAGCAAACATGCAAACTCATGAGTTCATGGACTGGTGTGTGTGTGTGTGTGTGTTCATAGGTGTGGATTTGTTTTTTTGAACTCTTTCACGCTCAACTTGCAAACACCACAAGAGCTCAGTCCCACTGAGAGACATATGGACTGCTCACACTGGCACACACACACACACACACACACACACACACACAGTGACTTGTACTTTGTGTGTGAGCAGTAAACAATCATGCAAATCTGTGAAGGTTCATTTAACAACTACTTATTGATCTTTAGACGATCAATCAATAATCAATCCGTAAAGCCACAGTTTGGAAGCTCACAGGAAGAGATTAGTTTGAGCCGGACAGACTCGACACTAGATTTGAGCCGCAGCTCCTTCAAAAGATGTGTGCGTCTCATGTTAGTCCGTCTTTTATTAGAGTCTGCTGATGTGTCAGCGGGGCAGATAGTATCAGCCAAGACCGGTCAATCACAGATATCGGTTTATATTTTGGCAGTAATCAACTGCAGCAAAATATGTTTCATAGTTAATGTTTTTACAGATAACCGTCACCTCAGGTTCTCTGAAATTATATATATTATGTTTACACACATACCCGATATAACATTATCTTATTTCTATAGTTCCCAGATGATGGTATCGGCCTTGAGAACTGACTATATATTGTTCTAAGAATCTATTGGATTTGACCTGAAGTCTCATCCTAGCAGGTTCCTCTCTCTAACGAGTGTCAGGCTCCGTCCTCCTGCAGTGTGCTCCGTGAGCGAACACATTCAACTGTAGAAAAGACAAGAGCCTAACAGCCAGATGTGAGCACGTCCTGCTGAAGCCTGTCAAAGTGGTTAACAAGCCCCATCTGACGTTTTCAAGTGCTCCGAATCGGCTAAAACAGCCGGAGCAGATTTCAAACTGAGCTCGATCCAAATCGGGACTTCTTAAAACTGGCAAATCTGTCCCTCCTCCCCCCCCCCTCCTCCTCCTTAAAATCTTGACTTGCAGATTGATTACTGTACACGTTGAGTTAGTTCTGTGCTCTCTCAGCAGTTTTGTTGTTAATAAACATCCATGTAATCTCACGGTCTGTAGTGATGTCACCATAGCGGTGATCTCAGTGGACACACACACACACAGTATTGTCAATGCTAATCATATTATCCCTCTGTCCCACTGCCTTTCAGACAGGCAGGGGGGGAAATCAATAGTGAACAGATAGTGGAGGCGGGGTTGATCACTAGTCCCCATTCTGCCACGTTGGAGCAGATTAGCGTGTGCGTACGTCAGCGGGCACACGTGTTCATGCGTGTTCACCAAAATCGATCGTCCTTATGAAACGTGGTGTATGACTAAAAGATGGCAGACCGAACACACAGCGGGTCTTCACACCCACCACATGAGCAGAGCCCGTTGCTATGACACTGTTGCCTCCACAGGCCCACGAATCCCCCGATGGCCAATCTGGAAGCAAGCTGGAGACCGTCTGTCATGGCCTCATATGCGCCTGGGCAACACACACACACACACACACACACACACACACACGTATAGGTTTACCCTGTGATTAGTAGAGTCCAGTCCATTTTTAACATTAAATGTCAAAACTGACTGAATAAAAGGACCCACTGTAAGCAGTGCGTGAGGTGCACTTTCATTGGATTTAGTAACGTTCGACGTGATGAGACCCACGCAGCTCATTCGATGCCCTGACCTCTAGCTGAGTTCAGGCCTTTGTGCATGTAACATCTGACGGAGGACATATTCACACTCTCACCGCACGGACCAGGCTGTTATGCAACCACGTTCTATATGCTGTGGAGAATGTGCTAATGAACGTGTTAAAAAGGAGATGGGAATGTCATGCATTCACACGAATCAGTTTTCAACACTAATAAAGCTACTAATGCGGAGCTCGACTGTAACATTCTCTGTACAAAAGCTGTTATTTGATCATTTAAGAGATACAAAAACACTCGTGATCATTTAGTGTCATTGCTTTAAAAGCCATGAAGGAACACAAAGGGCTTTTGAAGATAATAATAAAAAGATAGGTTAGGAAATAAGAACATCTTTAAGGATATGAAGTGCGGTAAAAGTTGCTATTGCTCCTTTTGTTCATTTTTAGCCTGAAGTTTGGAACATAATTCGGTACGATACAGTTGAATGTGTCCACCCTGCAGCCCAGAAGTGTCTGTTCGTCAGTGGGACACTCAGACACCAGGAGACACGGATCACAAACGATCAACAAGGATTTTGGGAAATTTTGTGGAAAAGCAGCTGTGCATGGCCTGATTCTAACATGTGTGTTACCACTAATCTCTCCAACCCACCCACTCCCTGACCCTTCATCCCAAATCCCCCCCAACCTCTCATCCCACTCACCCCTGCTGTCGTCCCACTGCTTCAATCCTCCACACCGCCCTGCAATCCTCTCATCCCTCCCTCACCCTCACCCCCCCTCCTCACCCTCCCTGCAGATGGAGAGCACGAGCTAACCTCCGACGACGGCTCCACTCTCTCTCAGTCTCTGTCTCTCACCCAGTCCCCGCAAAGCACTCCAGCTAAAGAAGGTATGAGAGAGAGAGAGAGAGAGAGAGAGAGAGAGAGAGAGAGAGAGAGAGAGACCATGTGCGGACTGTCAGGATGTGTTTGAGTGTGTGCGCATGAGAGGGCAAATTAATTGTTAATTCAGTATGCAATGCCTAAACTACTGTGCTATGAGTTTGTACCCCACGAATGATTTTTCATGTAAAAACATGTCTATAATGTCCCATCCCCTCCGTACGTAAATATTTGCTTATTCGTAAAAGTCTTCTGGGTCTGACTTTAAAGGAATAGTTTGACATTTAGCTGTAGCTCTCTCCTTAAAGCTTAGCCATGAGTTATGACATGAGTGTCATACTGTTGCTTTTTAAAGAGCATAGATCACAAAGTTTGTCCTCAACCTCGAGTGCCGCAGCGTCCTTAAACGCACCACAAACTAGAGTTCAAACGAGTTCATATCAGGACGAGATCTTTTGCCTCTCTGTTGCCTTTTGGTGTAAAACATCACAGACCTGCCGTACGTGAACACGCTATGATGTCGCATCACATGATTTCTGGGTATTGAATAAGTCGCCTCTTGGATCTACAGTCTCGTATCTATTAACCAAGAGATTTTTGTGTCTGAGGCCAGTCGGTGTGCATCGCAGCAGCCTCCTTACGGGTTGTAAATAACGACACTGATGGATTGACTTCCTGTCAGCTGCCCTCCAGCACTAACACGCACAACCACACAATGAGTAACAATTAACCCACGACAGCACATTGGCTCAGGGGACACGTATTATCTGACACCACCGCTACATCAGCCCACAGTTGTGCTGAGACCAGGTCAACTGTTGCGTGAGCCGCTTTTTAATTTCGTGTTCTTTTTGTGTAAAAGGAACACAAGAAACCGTCTCTGTTTTCATGCAACATGATGCCGCTGCTCTGCATTCCCTAATCTGCATTTGCAACGCAGAGAGAGAGATGTGACACTGGCAGGCCTGTTTGGTGAACATTCATTAAGGCAGTAGCTCTAAGCCACTGTTCAATGCCCCATTTATGTTAAGGTGAAAGGAGGACAGGCTCTCTGGGCTATATAAAATATGTAGAGCACTAGGACACCGTGTCTCTTTGTGTGACGTTCAACACACAGTTCAAATAGTATCGGTGTGTTTGGTACACGAGGGACATGAAAGCCTCACTTTAACCAGATACCGTATCATTTTACAAGCTGTTTCTGTCATTTTGTCCAAATACATGGATTCTGTTACATCGCTCCCTGTGTGATGGACATGAGTCTGATATATTCTGTGTATTTATGTGGACTGTTGTGTCTCGCTATTTCCCACATTATCTCCACTTACATATTAGTTCCCTTCGACTTTGCGCTGAGGTTAGTCATATGAAGCGTCATGCTTGTTATTTGTTAGCTGGGTGCTGTCTGTGAGTAGGGTGCGTCTGTCAGCGTTGAGTGATGTGGCCTTCCTTTGTTCCTTGATCCCTGTCCTCGCCCCAACCTCTGTCTCTCTGCTTCTCCCTCAGACAACCACACAGGCCTGATGAACGGCAAAGACAACCACGGCGACGTGGACGAGGAGCTGGCCAAGCGCGTCAGCCGGCTTACCGCCAGCGTGGAGAGCGTGGAGATCAAGGTGCGCTCCGGCGAGAAGATCGAGGAGGCGCTGTCCCCCGAGAGCTCACCCTCCAAGTCCCCCAACACCAAGAAGAAGAAGAAGTTCCGCACGCCGTCCTTCCTGAAGAAGAACAAAAAGAAAGAGAAGACGGAGGCCTGAGAGCAGACGGGAAAGGCCGTCTGCACGGAAGAAGAAAGAGGGGCGGCAGCCACCTTTTCTGTTTCATGTCTGTGTTTATATTATGTCTCTGTTTTCAATGTCCTTTCATGTTTTTAATTTTATTCAAATTTCTAACAAAAGGTTTTATGTGCAAAAGGCAGAAGAACGGATCACGTAGAGAAAATGAATTGGTTTTCTACAACAACAAAAAAAGGAAAGATCTCTGTTTGTGAAGTGTTGGGATGGGCATGTGGGCGCACAGATTAAAGTTGCAGCAGATTGGAGGTGACTCGGATGGGTCCAAGGTGTTGGGTGTCTGCACACGCGATCACCTGTGCAGTCCTCTAACAGGGCTCCTCGGTGTCACGTGAGGCCCTTTAGATCCCGAATAACTGGCTCCTCCTGTGTTGTTTCCCAGGCTGAAAATAGAACTGGAAACCACCTCGCGTGTATCTCGCTTTAAAATCCAATTGTGTTCAATGATTACGTTGCAACATTGAGTGATGTTAAACTAAAAGTTGACACTAAATTAGTTTTTAAAGTTTTGTTATTGAATCCTGGCCACCTGACTCAACAGTGAACTGAGAGGCCACGTGAAATTTGAAGTCACACTGGAAAACCGGTGTCGGAATTGACAGCCGAAGGGTTTGTGTTGATTTATTTACCGCGTGAGGATTTCTCTCTCTCTCTCTCTCTCACAGGCTTCTGATACAAACCTCCTCTTCAGCCGACTGGACAACATAGTGAGGATGAAGGCCGGCAGTTTATCACAACCAGGTTGACATAATCGCAAAGAGCCACTGACTCTCACTCAAATTATTTATGTCGCATTTTCACATCTCCTCTTCATCTCAATGTTGTTTTTGCCAAAACTAAAAAGACGAGAAGAAGACACAACCTCATTTCAGTAGCGCTTCACCGTTTGTGTCTAGTTTGTCATCTCATGAAATGTGATCTTTTTTTTTTTTATTCTACACACATTCGGTATTAGTCGACTCTGTTTTGTACTCATTTGTAAGCTTTTACAGAGAATTACAGCTGTTCTGCACGTTTTCTCTTATATGGCCGACTATGTTCTTTAGTGATGCCTGATTGCTGAAATTATATTCTAATCTTCAGAGTACACAAATTTACTATATAACACAGATATATGAAAACTGGATATGTTGGCTATAGATTTTTAACTATATTTTTTATTGTATTGCGCTGCACTTTTCTTGTGGTATATAACGTGTTTCAGTTGCAGGTGGTTTCACCAGTGAAGGAGATTTGTGAAGTAATTTGATAAAAGTTGTGCAAAGTAGCAAGCGAGGCATGGTGTCGGGAGGAAGGTCGAGGACCCCGAAAGTGAGTCGAATGAAGCGGGACAAGAATAGTCTCTCATTGGTGTCGCGCGTGAGAAATCATCTACTTCTCAACGGAACAAAACAGGAAGTGTAGTGTCGAAATACTAAGTCCAAATATCTGCAGTCGCCAGCTGAAATGAGAGTCGCGGGTCGTGGACTGAGGACCTTTTTGTTTGATGTGTTTCTGTGTTTGTTTTTAAAGCCATATTCAAATTTTATTTTTCCTCCATTGTTTTTAATGATGAGACAAGGGTTGCGATCGTCGTCTGCCTGCTCGGGCGTCAATGGACCCTAACGAGACCGCTGTTAAATCTCCCCCGTGACTGCATCGACACCCCTCAGGCCCCCGGAAACTTTTATTTCTTTTTCAGTAACTACATCCACTGCAGCTTTATTTGCCATTTATTTTCTCCTGGAACTGGAACATTACAAGGAGGTCGTATAAGGACATTTTCATTTCAGCTTCTAAAGCCCCCCCTCGTGTCATTTCTCCAGTAAACACGATGGTGCTGTAACTGTCAGATGACCCACAGTTGAACTCTGCAAAGCCAAAGTGTGACGGGTTGCCACATGTCCTCCCCCCAGCAGTTTAACCAGATGTACCAATATCCCAACTAGCAATGTGAAGTATTGGATTTGGGGGGGAGGGAGGGAGGAACACATCTTTAGCTGTGTTAAACGATGGCTTTTGGCTCCGGGCAAAGAGCTGCTGAGGTCACACAACTGGAAGATGGAGAAGGGAGGTGTGAGTTTGGAAATGGAAGTGCATATATATATATATACACACACACACACGTGTGTTTAGTAGAGAGGGGCAGTGGGTAAGGACAACCTGACACTAACGCACCATCTTTTCATCACTCAGACCGTCTTCCTCTTCCTGGAAAGTTCTTTTTTTTTTTGTTTTTTTTTTCATCCTCCATGTTTATCGCAGTATTCGCTTTCTTTTTGTTCTTTTAGTTTGCAGAGAGCGCTAGGCTTATTTCATTTTTATTAACCATTCTATGAGGTGAACTGAATGTTATTTTCTCCACTTTTGTTTCCGACTGTTTGCACCTTGCTTCACTAATGCTCTCTCTCTCTCCACCTCTTTTTCTGTTTTAAAATAAATAACGAGTTTTGCTTCGGCATGCCAGAATAAGCCGAGCTACTTTGTGACCTGTGAAAATCCTCTATAAATGGTTATCTAATGGAGTTGCTTTTAGATGTATTGCTAATCAGTGTAAATTCACAAATAAAGCTGTATTTTAAGAAACGGAAGCTCATTTTTCATGTTTGTTCATCACAATTTGCCTCATTCCTCAAAACAGTTTTAAGTTCAACATAATCCATGCACGCTCATTTTCCTTTATGCCACGATCATGAATTCAGCAGAGTAGAGCGGCTTCAAAGTGAAGCACCTATGTGCTGAAATACAGGGCTTTGCTGTTAAATGAGCAGGAAACACACACACAGTACCTGGTGCCTTATTTTAAACCTTCATCCAAGATGTTGGAATATGAGAATGAATATATTGTATGCGTGAATAGTTCAATCAGAAAGTTATGGCAAATGTGATAATGATAACAGGCACAGGAAATGTGGAAGCACTCGCGCAGACGTGCTGTGAAATGCCGAGTGAGCAGAATGACGCACTGAGATCTGCATTACTCTGTGAACACAGAGAGAGCAGTGTATAAGAAGTGGTTTCTCCAACACGCTGTGTATTAATTCAGAAGGTACACATTACCTGAAATGCACCGTTCTGTGTGAGATGTATTGTGTTAGTGACATACTGTAAATACCGTGTGTCATTGTTGTATTCTTTGTGTTCTTCAGAGCAGTGGTTTTCCAGTGAGTGTTGGGACTGCCACGGTGGATTGCAAGATGATTACTGGTGTAGGTAATAAGAATATCTCAACTCTGCTGCACCACCTTTTTTATAAGCTTTGATTTTTTTTCTTGTGAAATACCGTCTAGTTTTAAGAAAAAAGAATTAGCCTCAAGACGAGATGAGGAGTGGGCTACAGAGGTCTGGTCAGCTTCACACCCCTGATTTTTTTATTTTATTTTTTTATTTGTAGTCCCAATTCACTCAAGTGACATCACATGAGGACATTAATCAGATCTCACAAGCCAAAAAAGCCTTTAAACTACTTTTTCCAAATACAACGTAGTCCCCAAGACCTGTAAACAGACTGTAGTGTAAAATCAGTGGAGTTCTCCTTTAAAGGGTAAAGAAAGAGGGAAGGAGCCGCTGCTTTAAACAATGGTTATGTTGTTCTATTCTTTGTATGAGTAGGTGTGACTTTTTGTCTGGCGTCCTTATGATGTGTCCACAGATGTTCACTTTACTGCCAAAGAGTCCGCTTCTCTCTTAAACTTTGAAATCAGCTGCACTCCTCCCGCAGCGCGGTCGCCCGTCTCATGTCGGTGCAAACCTGTCGCAGATGGACAGGACGTGGCGTCTGTGTTGCACAGCGACTGTCCAGCAGAGTATACAGGCAACTTTGTGTGCATGTGAGCAGCCGGTGTGCCTTGACTGCATTGATATCCTCAGATGCAAAACTAAATATGCAAAACCTACAGTATGTGTGTCATAATGGTGTGTGCTAACCGTACAATGTGGGAAGATTGACTCAATAGTTACATCCTGACATAGAACTAGTTTACCCCCAAATCTGTCCTTACCCTGCGGTGACCTTAAATCATGATAATAATAATAATAATCTATCTTTATGATACCAAGCTGCTGCAGATATTATTGGTGATGTCCACTGTGGACTGTCCATTGCCTCTGATGATGTCACTTTATTTAAGAAAGGATTAGAAATGACATCAAAGTAATGGTGCCTTTTCTCACCCGAGCCTATTGTTACTTGGTCTCTACCTGGGAAAACAACACAATTCAGTTCACTACCGTCAAAGATCATCATTTTCAGGACATATACGGCAGATAGTTTAGTTGACAATTTAAGAAACGGCTGAATGGTTGGAGAAAAAGTTACTTGAACGTAATTTTTTTTAAAACATGAGCGCTAAAGGCACTAAGAGCCCCATCAGGAAGTGTTTTAGTGAGAGGGGAGGATGTCGTGAGATAATTTATTGTTTTACATGTAGCTTCCATATATCTGTAATCCGGTGCTGGCGTCAGTGAACGTGATATCAGTCTGCAGCACTTTATTTGGCAACGTTCCTGATATGAACAATAAAAGCGTATGAGCAATCCTGTGACTTGTGTGTCTCATGATTGTGTAAATGTGAAGTCTGTTACTGGCAGTTTAATCAGTGCTGTGGTGTTAATTCACGTTCAATTTATATATTTATATGAGCAGTGAACTTGTGATGTTTGAGAAATGCTTGTTGTGTTTCTGCGTAAAGGTTTTCTGTAGGAGGACTTTAACTGCCTGACCCTTTCAGAAGAAGCAGTGCGCTTCCACTTTAAAAGGTCTTCCTGCTGTAATGTCGTTCAGTTCCAAATAAACCTACTGAAATGATTTGAATTTCTCCGTGTGGTGGCAGTGGTGGGATGGTACGCCTTTGTGAAGTTGAAACCAGTGAAGGAAATAGACTGGAGGAAGAGCATGAGGTGTGGATGAGATTCTGAGGTCATTTGATTGGTTTGTTGTTCAGACTTCATGGAAAGACAAAAACAACAATATAAGAGAGGAAACTATTGATCCCTTGGAAATTGAGTTTGACTCGATAAAGCTTCAGCTCTCATAATGTGTTCCTCTTCCTGTTTAGATGGATAGAAGATAAGTGGAGAATGTATATTCACGAGTTCTATGTTGGGAAGTTTATTTGCAACATGTTACAGTATATTGTCAATTCTATCAATTCAGGAAAACAAAACAACTTAATCATCCAGTTTTTAGTCAAAAACAGAGATTGATCACAGTTATATTGGAATATGTCTGATTACTTTAGTGGCCCTGGAAACTGAGTGCACTGCAACTCAAAAAAGCGCATGCAAACATCTTCACCAACTTGACAACCGCTAGAAAACAACGCTTCAAAGTGAGAAACCTCAACCGAATACAGAAAAAATGCTTAAAGTTACAACGGAAATAAGTCACGAAAAAGTGTCTAGGGGACGTTCATTAAAACACACCGGCCATGTTTAGTGTCCCCATACAGACTGTTGTTGTTTTGTATCATCAATTGTGTTTTGTTTGACTTGCAGCGTTTCTGAGTGTGTTTCTGAGTATGCATGCTGCGCGTGAGCCGTCAAGTTGGTGAAGGTGTTTTCTTCGCTTGCTCGTATTTTTTCTATCTGCGTGTTTTTACTTGAGTTACCGTGCAGTGAGCCTTCAGGGCCACCGTTCTTTCACATGAGTGTCCCATTTCAGACACACACACATACATTACACACACACACACATCCGTCCTATTGCATCATGTACTGCACAATTAAGGAGGTGAAGAGGGGTTTTCTCCTCTCCAGACAGCACCATGCTGGGAGTGTCAAAACAATGAACCTACTTGCGTCCAGATGGATGATCCGCTGGCGGACGGTGGAAACCTTGATAGGCCTTTTTTTTCAGGACAACCATACCCCTGCACACACACACACACACACACAAGCACCGCCCCACCCCAACAGACCCTGCTAGACACCCCAGCACTCCAAGCTTCTCAGCTACCAGAGAATGCAGTGATGCCTAGAGGCCTCTGGGATGAATTAGGGACTTATAAACAACATGAGAGGTCAGTTTGGTCTGAGCGCAAATGCACACCCCATGGGACCACACACACACACACACACAGTCATACAAGCTGGTGGTAAATTTTGTTCATCCATGAAGCCTTCTGTGTGAGAGAACTTAAACCTTTTTTTCTGCTGCCCACATAAGGCCAAAAATAATCAGTTAATGCAGTTTTAGTAAAGTATTATGAAATCGACATCCTTTATTGACCTCAGTGGCCTGTAATCAACAGAACTAATAAAGTAACATTGTCTGCAAAAGTGTCTTCTGATGAAGTAATCACGATACAGTACACTGGGAGTACAGTACTGCTGTGTTAGTGGCTTTATTGGCTTGAGTACATAATGGTGCCCTCATAGCACTGTCCTGCGTCGCTGAGTGGGTCGGGTGAAAAGTGCAAGTCAGTGTGTGTGCGTGTGTGTGTGTGTGGGGGGGTTGGGGGGGATTATTTTGTGGTATTGATCAACTGCTCTGTCAAATCCGTGAAGATGTATTATGTTCATTTTGTGCTGCGGGGCAGTAAGGATCTCACTTATGGCCCCTTAATCTTTAATTCATTGATGGCCGACATTATAGATGTTGTTTGGGAAACCAAGACAAGGAAATGTGCTGAGCAGCATTATCTCGGTGTTTTATCATTCCTCCCCCAACAGGCAACGCGGTGCAATTCTTTTTACCATCGACATTCAAGGGCAGGGGACAAAAGGGAGTCGTCAACAATGACCTGATGGAGGAATCACATGACTGGGTTTACTGATTGGCTGGAGCTCTGGCCACAACTCGCAGCCAACTTCCCCAACTATCCCTAACTTTCAGTGTGACCACACCTTGCCACTGCTCTGGTGTGTTTCTGGAGTTATGCCCTCTTCAGTGTGCGATAGTCCTCAGGTTCGAGTAGTGGTCACCAGTAAACTGTGTTAATTATCTGAAATATCTGGCTGTTATCTGCTAAATGCTCCACTATGTTCACCAGCTAGTCACTAACTTTGACTGCCTGCTGTTTGGTGCTCATCGGGTATGAACATTCTGTATGGGTGTGCATTTGAGTGAAAACAAAATCAAGACACTTATTTATATGGCCCAAAATTAAAAGTTTCGTTATTGTCAGAAACTGGTCTGAGGTACAACTCCAGTAACACTTGTAGTATGCAGAACAACTTGATCTAATACAAAATACAAAATACCACAAAGTTGTTCCGCATACTACAAGTGTTGCTACTCTGCTTCGTCTATTATGCTCTCCTATCTCTGTACAGCATGCCACACCCTCGATCCATACGCTATCAATTTGGAGGAAAAATGTGATAAAGAGCAACAGGACAGAGAGACGTTAAGTAACTGCTGCTAGTTTAGAATAGACAGAAGCAGCAGTGGCAGAATTACTACGTTAAATAGCAGAAATACAGAATACAACTAAGAACCACAAAAGAGTGATTCTACAAAGGGCTTCAAAATAACAGAACAACAACACCCAACAAACCAGCAACAGGAACAGTGGCTACATGTTGGAGCTAACAAATAGTGAAGTGATGCACATGGAGTGCCCTTCAACCAAAGCCATGCAGGAGCTCCCACTGACTTCAGCTCTGGAAACCTATGAAGAGCTGCTTCATAAGCTCTCCTACGATTGATAGATCCATGTGACGAAACGCAGGGACAGAGAAATTAGTGGCATGGATTGCCTTTAGCCACAGTATCATTTGTTCTGCTGTCTATTGACTCCCTTCTATGGGTTATATATAGGCCACTCTGTCACATGCTCCTCCCATTGTCGAATGAGACCTGCATCCTCTTGCTATAGGAAATCTAATCCTCCATTGGAGATCAATAGCATCCTATTTCCTCTTCCCTTGTCAAGGATTCAATAGATTTCTAGCGTGGACTGTGTGTCTGCTCAATGTTTTAAAAAAGCAGGATTTATTGGATCCCAAACCATAGATGATGATTTACTATTGGTTATTAACAGAACATTCCTACCATATGCACCACACCACCTTGACCAATCTGACCTGATTGTTTCTTAATATAACTATAAACTGTTTCAGGGATCAATGTTGTTTTGCACTGGGGATGATGGAGGGACATGTTTGTGCATCCTTTGCAAAAAAAAGGAAGAGCTATGGGTACTCGCTGTGATCTATAGTCCCATGTCCACCACACACACACACACACACACACACGCTGACCTTTAACC